CTGACTATTACCTGACAATATGCTCGCTCAAATGAACTACATCTTTTCGTTTATTCCTTTCATTGTACCGAAATGTTTTAATATTCTAAAGATGCCATGCTTGTATGCATATTTGATCATGCCTTTTAGAGGTGTGTCTCGTTTTACAGAGAATATACCATTTAGTTATTTATTTATTTATTGTGTACGTCTGGTAACCATGCTTCCCTACATAGATAGACAAGAATGCTGCTGGTGTGCATGTTGAAGGTGTTGACAGGTTTCGTTGTTGAAACTTGGCATCAGACCAGATGTCCCCCGTCCTCGTTCCTTCTGGTTAACTTTGGATAAGGGTGGGTAGCTGGAGCTGTGGGTGGTGCAGTGCAAGCAACACAGAGTCCTTAATTAAGCTTAGGCCTCCTGTGGCTGCCCTACGGAGCCTGCAGCGACAAGCACATCCAGAACCGGATGCTTTCAACCATATGAGCTTAACGGTGCCTACTTTCCAAGCAAGCGGGAGACGTCCTGCGTAGAGAGCTCACTGCAAAAGTTTGGAAGACACGTAAAGTAAAGTGCTCAGGTACTGTGTTAAAAAGAAAACGCTACAGCCCATCAGGACTTGTCGAGGAAGGCGACTTATTTCAAGGAGAATGCTAACAACCGCTTCTGGACAGCTTTCTAGTTACCCTAAAGTGAAAAATGGTACAGACACAAGGTAACCGGCAAACCGCGGTTCAGTCAAAAGGACTGAGGAAATCTGCCTTGCCAGGAGCCCATCTTTTGCATCAGCATGAACTATAGTGTATTTCGCATTGGAATACAAAGCAGGTATTCTATAAATAGCTTACGTGCGTCTTCTCAAATAGGAGGAGCGGTTGAAAGTTGCTAATTTAAGCTTCGCTCGTACGTTGCCGCTTCGCATGCTTCTATAAGGCGTAGATATGCCTGAACGCTTGGTACTTTAGGTGGTCGGAATGTGGTTGCCTGGTCCGCTCATAATTGTTTGTAACTCACGATCCATCCGCGGTGAGCCTTTGGAGAAAAGTTTCCCTTTGTATGGTGGAATGACTTGAGTTATGAGGGACGTGAACTTAGACTAGAAGTGGTTCAAATTATTAGCAAAGGCCAGCTGCTGCGGAATACGCTAGCCAATAGCGCCGGCACCAGTTTTCTTACGGTGTGGATCGGCACACTAGAAGTTTCGACAACACTATGGTTGTGAATGGTGAGGCTCCTCATCCAACGAAAGAAAACCACTCAGTGACCATGTTTCCTGTTTGGTTGGAGAACAGACTAGACGAAAACGCCTATCTCTGCTGGCGTGAGCATAGGAGCAAGAATGTGTTCCGAGTGAACAGGAGTTATTCTGGTGGGCATTTTAACCTTTTGAAGCAGAAGGCAAACAAGCACGGTTTAGATGCAGAATGCATCACCAAGTTTCGGGGAGAGATAACAACGGATTAAATCGCGGTAGATATCAGCCCACGTTTGCCTCTCCAATGCCTACTAACAACTTCCAGCAGGCTAAACCGGAACCCAGAGGTGTTTGTGAACAACTGTACACGGATAAAACTTGCGTCCCTCACTAATTGACACTAACGCATATTTGAGCCACCTTCATTGTCGCACATGGCTTCAACAAGGTGACACTTGCGGTCTTCCAAAAGGTATAGCTACACGCCGCCTCCAGAACTAGCACCAGTGCAATGCACTCGAAGTGGCTTATACCATGGAATAGGCACCTTCGAGTACAAATTGTCTGAAAACAACCAAGCCTCTGTGAAAGTCAAATGGTCCGGGTGGTTCTCAGAGGCAAGCAACTGCATTTCATCAAGTTTGTTTTGTAGGCTATGTATACTGACAGTTATGAACTTCAAACCATTCCGCGTTCTTACCGCCCGCGTAGGGCAAACACTGGCCTACAGCAAGCTCGCGGCGCTTTCCGAACCACATACACACGCAAAGTGTGGTGGTCTACCTCACCAGTTGCTCGGCGTGTTCGTAACCCTTCCACAGCTTTCCGCATTTGGACTCGATCCTATTGTCAGCGTTCTGGCAATACGTAAAGCGTTTCTTCCATAAGACGATGGGTCTGTCTGAAAATGCGGCTACACCCACCCTCAATTGAATAGGACGAACTTTAGTGGCATGTACTCGCTTCCTGTCAAGGGCAAACTGCACTCTCAACGCCCATGACCAGTCCATCGTGGATTGCTGGACACAGTCTGCACTACCCGGACAAGTATACCACAGAAGAGGTCAACCTCGATTAACTCGAGAAGTTTACTCACACGCACCACAAAGCACGCGACCCTACGACTATTTTGCTTCCTCGACCGGTTTCAACAACTACTACTGGATCATGACTAAGCCAATTGGGTATCCAGGAGAGAAATTGGGCCCACAAAAGACTGCGCATAACGGGTGCAAACAGCTTCGTATGAGGCAGCGCCAGTTTGCAATACTTTTCAAAATAACCCCAAGTAGTGTTCCAAGACGTGGTGGCTTTTAGCCTGGTAAGCGTTCTCCCTATGAACAGCTCCATATGTCTGCTTAGCAACTCTGCGACTTTACGGATGTGACTCAGCTCTAAAATGTCACAGCCCCACCAATTCGCACTGGTGCAGTCAACAGACTACGACAGGCAACCTATGCAACCGCTTTTGCTATCAGGATTGCTTTGCTGGAGCACCGAACATACGTGGATTGTAATGGACAACGTTTGCACTGAACTCTTACGGTGGCTCATGTGCTCATGGCTTACCGCATGAAGAAAGCACGCCGAACTTGAAAACTGACACAAAAATTAGGCCTGCGCCGCCTTTTTAGTATGTTCCCGGGTCTGACTCTTACCTGACAAAATGCTCACTCTTATGAACTAGGAACACTTCGGTTATAACTTTCAGTGAAAAAAGTACTGTACTATACAAAAGCATCTAGGCTTGTATTCATCTTTACTCGTGGCTTCACCGAGGTGCCTCGGTTTACCAAGAATACAGCAGTTAATTATTTAGTTAAGAAGAAAGCAGACAATTTTCAGCCTTCGTTCACCTTCATCAAAAAGTCGGGAGACCATGCTCTTCAGCAGCTCCTGCGCTTCTAGTATCCTTCCATCCGGAGAAGCCGTATTCTACTCAGGAGCGTTCATAAGGATAGAACAACGGTCAACCTGAGTTGCTGCGCTGCAATCAGGAGCTTGAGAATGGAAAGGCCTGTTATCCGTAAGAGCGTTTTCCAACTCGCTTACCCTGTCAAGGACCAGCTCCAGTTCAGAACGGGCACTTTTATTGGAATACCTTAGTAACACTGCGGGATTTATGAACAAACAGATTTGCATTTCTGCTAACCCACGCTTGTTCAGCAGCCTCATTCGCTAACGCCGAAAGTGTCTTGTCCTTGGACTCACAGTTATCAACAACAAGTGTTAGGGGCTCCGATGGTGACGAGGTGGAAACGCGAACGCGTTTACCAGAGAATGGTTGACTCAGAGGCAGAAAGTGGGCAAGAAGATACTAAAAATTCGGCAGCGGCGGGCAGCTCAGACTAACTCCGGATGGGTGGTGGTTTAGTGGCGGGTAGACTGTCCAAGACGCTCGGTACAACTTGCCAAAAGTCAAAAAGAAGACAATGGCCGAGAGGGCAGTCCTATGTAGTCATTCGTAAAGATCTGCACTTATTTCGTAATGGACAGTGTGTCCACACCCATCGCCGTGAGTGTACTGCACAGCTTTTGGTCTTGGAGGAATACCTCCACCAAAATTCTAGCCGTTGGGTGTCATCACACCTTATGCCGGATAAAGTCAAATAAACTGGCTAGTGTATCTGCAGACAGACGAAATATGGAGACTTTTGTTCTCCAAAGCTCTAAATGGGACGTACCTGCCAAAAGCACACTGCTGTGAACAATTTTAAGCCTTCGGCACAATGTCGCCTTGCTGCCATAAAGCGCGGCAAGAGTTGTTTCAACTTGGAAGGGCGCTGAGTAACACTGAAGCAGAAGTATTCTTGCCGTGATATAAAGCGGTGTTTAGGCAACGTCTGAAGTGTTCCGTTCAGGCCAGGGCCCCGCACCTCCGTAGTAACGCCAAGCGCATACAAATCATTCAGATACGCGACTCGAATAATCGATGGTCAAGGAGGGAAGACTACGAAGCTCGTCTAAGTAGGATGGGATCCTTTTCTTTGGAACGGCGTAGGTTGCAAGGGGATTTGATGACGACGTTTTAGATCGTAAAGGATTTAGTGGTTTTAGTCCCACAAATCAGGTTGAGTGGACAATGTCGGTCCACCTGCGCATGCATCGTCTGAAACTCAAACGTTCTAGAGGTCATTTACACAAAAGGACAAAATTTTTTACCAACCATGTACTTAACATCTGAGATAAACCTCTTTTGATTTGGTGAATGCGACATGGTAGAAGCCTTCAAAAGGGACCAGATGAGTGTTGGGCTGTCCTTTTCTCAGATATTGTAATTGTACTGGAATAGGTAGGGTCTTTCGATGCTCAAACATGAAAGTGCAAAGATTGTACTTGTTCTTGCTTCATTCCTTTGTGGAAACAAGAAGAGTCAATCCAACGTCGAAGTACCTGGGGCCGATTCACCTACCGACACAAGCAGCAGGACGCTTGTCAGGCGAAGGCTCTACCGTCCGTTGTACCTAACCTGACATGAGCTAACCTGTCTGACTGCGGATAATACTAGTTAATTGGTTTTACCGGTTATCGTACAAATGCTGTGCAACCAGGTAAATCCCCTTAAGGTATATTTTACAAAAGGCGCCTGTAGTAAACGAACTTCGTGCTAAATGTAACCAACTGAAACAGTCAAAGCCTAAAGTGCTGTCAATTACGTCGTTCCAGCAATCGGTCCAATGCACGTTTCCCGGTTATTACAACCTCAACAAGCCACTTATTAGTCAAGTAGAATTTTGCTTAAAAGCACCGAAACATTATATAACGACTGCTATTTATTCTGAGCCTTAGCACTCGTTGTTTTTGCGGATCATTTTTGCTAGATGAAGACGCGGAGGTCGCCATCTTCATGTTCTCAAGGTCGCATTTTGTCTCTCCTTTGAATTTTTGACGGCCGTTATATTCCGATGTACTCGCGCAGCTCGCGCCGTTTTCCTTCCTGTTTTTATAAATGAGCCGAATGCCTTCATCGATCCCCTCGGCTGGCCCTCTTACTGGAGTTCACGTTCAGTCTCTGCATTCCAACGCATTAATCTCGACCCAAGGGAATCTGCCAGGATCCCTACCCCCAGGTCGGTTCTTTCTTTTGCTTACCCACTCACAGGCGTCTCGCATACGGTACATGGCATGCAACTACTTGGCCCACATGAGCGAGATCATATAATGAATGCATCTGGGCCGCTGCCAGGTCATTATTTTCCGACAATGGGGATGAATTCCGGATCCCCTCACCACGTGCAAAATATGCTCCCTCACGTACACCCACATCAGTTTCACCATCCTCATCACCTATTGACGCTGTGAGTTGGTTTAGTGCTGTCATCAAAAGTAGTATACTCTTGCTGCCAGCCGTGAACGTTCAGGATCACCCTAGCACGCTTCCTCATATTTTTCCTTTTATGCGTTTGTTGTATGCTTTCTCTGTAGATTCGTGTAATGCGTTTCATATTTGTGATCGATCGGCTATCTTGTCAGTCGTCTGCAGGAACCGTTCATCTTATGGTTTTATTTCACTAGGCACTTGGTATAGTACTCCGCTTCGAGAGTTATCGATCGCCTCGGAAGGCCGACGTTTAAGCTGGTCCAATGAGTCTTACCTGATTAGCCGCGCTCATGTCTTCAGTATTGTCAATTCTGCAGTATCTGTACGATAAACATTCGTTGCTCAACTTGTCTCATCTGACAAACTTTACTGTCTTTTTCCAGTGGACGCATACCGCATTTCATTGGGCAGACGGAGTTAAGAATTTTCGAAATGAATAAAAGGCTGCAGCAACGAACAGATGTACAGTCCATTTATTCCTCATTTCCTGTTTACAGGATTGCGACAGCCACTGGTGGGAGGCTTTTGCAACGGACTTTTTTGAAGATGATGCAACCCTGACTGTTGGGTTCCTGACAGAGGATGGACCGAAACGATACAGTATCCATCTCGTTTACTCAAAGTCTTACTTTTAGCGATCGGTAGAACGCTTATCCCTCGGTACTTTCGTAGCATTTTCGAAAGCGGGTGTGGGGAGCTTCACTATATTCTTCGACTGAATCATGAATACATTCATCACAGCAGCCTAACACTGGATTCCGAAGCGGCTACAATGACTATGAATATGATTCGCTCAATACCTGCAACTGTGGTTGTTGAAGGTCGCTTGAACTTGGAATTTGTTCCTGATGAGCTACTGCGGATTCGTTCTTGGATTTTTCTGATTCGTTCTCATCGTGAAATGATAATGCGTTCTATGCTCGGGATCCAGGTAATTTGCCTTTTCGTAGTACTCTTTGGATCCCTGCTTTGTGACTAAACTTGCTTTATCCTGTTTATGCACTTGTACTCTAATTTTATACTCGCAATAGCCGGCAACTTTTTCTGGTCGCTACCCTTTAACCCCATTCCGCTACTCGCGGAGGTTCCCTATCACGTGATACAAACGAAGGAAGTTAATGCACATGGTTGGCGGTACCCGATTCCGGATTTGCCTGTCACTGGCCAGCCACAGGACGCCTGCGCCTACATATATATATATATATATATATATACATATATATATATATATATATATATATATATATATATATATATATATATGCTAAACCAACTTACACTTAAACTAGGTCTCTTTAAGCTGCATAAATTTCATTCCAGTTTATTTGGTTAGTTTTTCCTATCTGAATAGTCTATTAGCTAGCCACGTCACTTACGCTAATCGCGCTTATCTTCGGTAATTTTGTTGCGTTTGTAGCATTTTTGAGTAACTTGTGGACATTTTTTCCTTATCGCGGATTCATTGCTAACCAACTTACTTCATATGCTAATTTAGCGAAGAGTTATGCCAACGTATCTGTATGCATTATTGGACTTCATTTCGTCGTTTCAAGTGGTTGGCTGTTGCGTGCTATCCCCGGTGTGGCTGCGCTTGATGTGCATGTTGACAAGGTGCCTACCTGTCTATTACCCACTACCTCGTCCATACTGGCTCCAGGAGACAGCTGGTCGCTGCTGGAGGGGACGGGGTGCACGGTCCTTGTGTCCGTGCTAGACTCGAAGAGTGGTTCCATGCACTCAGTGTGGAGCGGACTACGGTCCAGCCACCGCCTTGTGTGCGGTTGATTCCCCAAATACAGCGTGCTTGTGTTTGCCTGTGAAGGAGTGTGGGCCGGCTCCGTCGATGAAACGTGGCTCCCATCCGCTTGCCTCCCGGTCTTGTTCCTTCGGGTTTACACTGGATATGGGGTGTGGTTGGAGCTGTTAGTGGTGCAACGCAGTCCACCCATGGTCTCTCTGTAGGCGCAGGCGTTCGGTGGCTGGTCACAGTGGCAGGTAAATCCGAAACCAAATGCCGCCATGCCTATATGTATGATGTGTACATGGCGATATCCTTATCCTCAGTCGACTGTCACTGCGTCTGCGAACTGCCGCAGGACGCTTGTGATGTCAGAGGGACCCTGGACGGCTGCACTGTACCACTCACGATCCCCGCCACACCTTATCCAGTGTAAACCCATGATAAAACCACGAGTTATTCGCACCAGGCACATCTCTAACGTACGCCACCCAGTTGAAGTATGGGAGAAGTGCGTACTGATCATACACGTAACGGTAGCTGGATGGAAGCCCATGCCGGTCGGAATCGCTCATTGAGCCTGTCACTACCACAGTATCCATGCGCTCCGACTCAGCAACAATAGCCGATAATTGAGGTGACCGCGTTGTCATTGGGTACCTTGTCAACAGCATCGTTCGCAGCTAGAAATGGTATATCGACAGGTGATTTCTGTCAATCACGCAGCAAAACGGCTTCACAGCTACAAGTGCAGTCCGTCAGCATCACCGACGCGGCACAGCTGTGGTGTTATCGACCTGGGTTACTAAACGAGACTGGAGGCATCGTGCTTTTGTTGCACTGATTCCCAGTCAACTTGCTCATCGATTCTTTAATATAGGTACCTCATGAGCACGTAGATAGTTTATCAGGCCGGTTCAGCTGATGAACGCATGGCCGCAAATGCTACAGCGCAAGCCACATGCCAACTGCCTGGGTTCTGTCAGTATCTGTCCTATATTGCGTATGTCCTGCATTGTTGTTCCCGATGCAGCGGTCCTTTGTGATGGTTTTCCTTAACAAGAAAGCTCACTTCTACTCTTTTGATTGAGCTAGCTTGTCACATTGCCCGGAAAAATTTTCGTACTGAAGTCTGTACCTTAACTCCCGAGGCCCAGTAAGGGTCTACGGGAAGCATTCAAAACTCTTTACTACAAGTTCGGATTGATTGGATTGTTCCATATGTTCGTCGCAACGAGACTGCACCTTAACCTGGTGCGATGGTTTGCGTACATCATTGACCCACTGAGCTATACTGGGTGATGCCTGCGGGCATCTTGAGAGATACTCCTGCTAAGTTGGTCAATGGTGAGAGGCCAGGCAAACTCAACCTCCTGGTCCTCCATGTTGTTGTTGTTTTCCTATATATTGTTTTCATATTGTTTTCCTATTCAGCCATGATTCCGATGGCACAATATCTGTACCACTGATTGTGTATAATATATATATATATATATATATATATATATATATATCCATGTTGGGGATTTGAAATGGGATGGCGTCCATTTCTGTAAAACTAAATCATTGCCGCCTCCCAGCTGGCTAGCGGACAGGCTTTTGAGCCAAACGCTTTGGATGGAGACCTTAGTTGTCCTCCTGTCTAGGTCTGGGCGCCGTGGCATTATTCCAGCTCGCATACAACCATGACTATTTTTTCAGACATAAACTTCATCCTTCATCGGCCGTCGCGCAGATTATCATGGATCGCCTTATCTGCTGCATACAGCAGGGCGGATACGCGAAAACTTACTACTGCTGGCGCCTTTCTTTTCCCCATGCTTCTCTTATTCTCATCCTGACCCCCATTACTAACCTTCCTTCTATAATTCCTATCTTAATTGACAGCAACCGTTGCCACTAGAGTAGAACCATCTGCAGCCACCTCGCGACACGCACCGGATGCCTATCGGCAACAGTCCCTTATAAGGCCACGCTGTCTAATTTCAATGGCGACGATCAACGTCCGCACTCTAATACAAGTAGGTCAACAGGCTGCACTGACACGCACCTTGGACACACTGGGTATTACTGTGTGTCATGTGTCGGAAACTAGCATCAATGACCCTAATGGGGTTGTTGAATTAACTGCACCCGGCTTATCCTCTCGTTATTAGTTACACGCATCCGGAGACGCCGATACAGCACTCATGGGTCAGGCTGGTGTAGGTATCATTCTAAACTCCAAGGCTGAGTCATCGTTGGTTGATTGGATTCCGGTGAACAGCCGTTTATGTGCAGCCCGTTTGACGACATCAGCTAAGGTGAATTCGCGAAGTAAAACAAAACGCTGTTTGTTTGTGATTTCCGTTTATGCTCCCACCGACTGCAGTTCTAATGCAGTCAAGGACACTTTCTATCACGAACTGAACGTGCTACTACGCAGTGCTACTAGTACTTGCAGGGGATATGAACGCACAAGTAGGGCGTCTGAGCTCTTCAGAAGCTCAGCTGGGTGGTAATTATGGACTTAACTCCGAGCGGACTGACAACGGCGAGCGTCTGTTGCAGCTGTGTGCGGAGCACCAGTTGTTTCTTAGTAGCACTGCTTTTAGACAGTGGGCGCCGAAGAGCCACTTGGCGTCCTCCTGTAGCTGGCCAGCGATGGACCCAAATTGACCACATAGCTATAACTTACAGATGGCGTGGTTCCATCCTGGATTGCCGCTCGTGTTGGCATACTTGTGTCGACTCTGATCATGCCGGTGTCGTTTCTCCATGAACCTTGCCGGGACGCGCACCAAGCGTCTCCTCCAATTTGCAACGGAGAAATTGTCTCAGCCTTCGCTTAGGCAAGCCTATCAAGACGCACTGTATACCGAACTTACGCTTTTTTGTCCTAATGACACTGAGCTTCAGTGGAATAGGATCTCGGCCGCAATGCACTACGCAGGAATATCTGCTTGTGGCACTATCAATCGTCATTGCACCAGTCACTGGATCTCCGAGAGGTCGGTGAACCTGTTGGAATCCAGAAGAAACCTCCCGACTGGATCTGTACACAATGTGACCAGGCGATCTATTAGTTGCGAACTGAAGTGAAGCCTACATGCTGACAAGGAAGCCTGTTGGACCAGTCGGGCTCAAGAAATGGAGGAGGCAGGAGCAGTAGACAATTACCGCAAGCTCTTACAACTGATCCACACCACTGGTCCCAGAAAACCAGGCGTCAGTGGGACAATCAGAGACAGCGCGGGTGCGCTGATACACAATAAGGAGCGCCGTATGGCTCGTTGGGCAGACCGTCGCAACGAGACTGGACCTTAACGTGGTGCGACGGTTTGCGTACCTCATTGACCCATTGAGCTATACTGGGTGATGCCTCCGAGCATCTTGAGAGCTACTCTTACCAGATTGGTCAATGGTGAGAGGTCAGACAAACTCAGTCTCCTGGTCCTCCAGGTTGGGGGTTTGAAATCGGATGGCGTCCATTTCTGTAAAACTAAGTCACTGCCACCCCGCTGCCTTGCGGACAGGCTTTTGAGCCAAAGGCTTTGGATGAGGACCCTAATCGTCCTCCTGTCTGGGTCTGGGCGCCCTGGCAGTATCTCAGCCCACATACAACCATGACATTTTCTTCAAACATAAACTTCATCCTGCATCGGCCGTCGCGCAGATTATCAAGGGTCGCCTTATCTACTGCATACAGCAGGGCGGATAAGCGAAAACATGCTACTGCTGGCGCCTCCCTTCTTTCTTTTCCACCTTTTTCTCTTATTCCCATCCTTGCCCCCATTACTAACCTTCTTCTATAAATCCCAGCTTAATTGACAGCAACCGAAGTGCTACTGGAGTAGTACCATCTGCAGCCACCATCCCACAGCACCTATCGGACGCCTATCGGCAACAGTCCCTTATAAGGCCACGCTGTCTAATTTCAATGGCGACGATCAACGTCCGCACTCTAATACAAGTAGGTCAACAGGCTGCACTCGCACGCACCTTGGACACACTGGGTGTTGATGTGTGTTGTGTGTCCGAAACTAGGATCAATGACTTTAATGGGGTTGTTGCATTAACTGCACCCGGCTTATCCTCTCGTTTTTAGTTACACGCATCCGGAGACGCCGATGCGGCACTCACGGGTCAAGCTTGTGTAGGTATCATTCTCAGCTCCAAGGCTGTCATGGTTGGTTGATTGGATTCTGGTGAAC